ACATACATCTCTGCATTGATCAAGTCCAAAGAATCTTTCCATCTACAGTTACTTAAATCCAATGGATTTTATGGACCTTTTGGTTTCTAATCTTAAATTATAATATATTTTAGTAAAAACTGTATAGTGTTTCACTGAAAAACTAAGGATACTCATGTTCATCCATGAAATATGTCTATACTTATGATTGGATGCACATTTGAACACCAGCACACTATTAAAATTATGTGTCCATATTTTCCCTTTTAGAGTAAACCTCCAGGAAATGTGTTGGCTCCTGGGAACTTATTTATCTTTTGGTGATGTGGTAGTCAGTCGTCAGCAACAGGCAGTCCTGTTTGAGTATGAAGCCTAGCAATCGATGTAAATGAAATTATTCACTCTATTGAGCATATGTCTACCTTGGGCAAGGAATCAGGACTGGGAAAAAAGCAAAGAAATAATGATTTTACCCTTAAATACAATGGTGCCTGTAAATCATATGGAAAAATCAAACTAGTGTAGTGTTTCATTTACTTCTCTAACATAAATTTATTTTATTTCAAATAAAGTTTTAAGTAAGTTTTGTATTATAATTTATGAATTTTAAATATGAAATACACCATATAGGACTAAAAACTAAAAATTTATCATTAAAACCAAGTAGATTAAAATTCTCTCATTGGGAAGGTATGTCTCAGAAGATCAATTATCCCATAATTTTTAATATTGGCAAATTGATTCTGTCTAGATAGATAGGTCTGTCTAACATGATGTTTTACTAATCAACTACTCATGGGATTTTTTACTGATTGATCTTGAAAATGAACCTAACTGATGTAGACAACTAAACATCTATTTTTTTTACCATCAGAAACTGATCTAAACTGAGATGACACTGAATAAAAGTTCATTACTTATCTAAAACTGGTTTTGAATGAATAGAAAGTCAAATTTTCCTTCTGCCTTGTTTGGAAATGTGGTCTACCTTGTCTGTAACACCAGTCCTTAACACTGTTTGTCATTCCTGAGAGTGAATTCCAGAACTCAGAATAATCACATTGACCTGATGTTGAAAAAACTTGCTTAACACATCAACTAAATATTTAAATAAATAATACATAGTTTTTAAGAATTGAGTTGTCCAAAATAACAGAAAGGAAATTCACCTTGAGATGAAGATGGAATGTACAACTATTTGAATTGAAAGAGAACTTACCTCAGAGAAGGTGCTTCAAAGAGAGGCCAGGCCGACGTTTGTGAGAAGAGCACGCTGAGAACTATCAGGCTCATGAGGAGCTGGGGCTTCCTTCTGGTTTCCATCTCTGCACCTTGAAAGGGAGAAAGTCACACTAGATTTTCCAACCACAGATGTCACCATCCTGGTCATTTTTAGTGTCTAGCAGTAATTTCTGAAGGCTCTTGAAGAGTTTGGATAAAGTAATTTTCATCTTATAAAAAGAGTTAAACTGCAATATGATTACTTTTTAAATCAAGAGAATTTCTCTTGGTGACGTGCTTGAATAAAAATTAGGATCCTTTTCGACTGCTGTCCATGTGCTTTCACAGGCACATAGCTGGCCCAAGTGTATATTGAATGCCATACTATTACACTGCTACAAATAACCCTGGGGTCCATATCCTTACTATAAAGATGTGGATTCCAAGTTTAGTATCTTTTCTAACTAAGGAAATAGCTTCAAAAAACTGTTTCTTCTACCTTAAGTTTTTGCACCTGATTAATATAAAACTAGAGTATCATACATTGAATAATGTGTGTATATTTATGTATATATATAAATGTATATATCTATCAACATAAAAATTATTCTGCATATACATTTTTCCTTTTTTAATTGTATTACAGATAACTTATTTTCTTATACTAAACTCAATTAAGAATGAAAATTAATACCAAAATTATATAGAACCACATATTACCATTGAAATAATTCTTCCCACAGAAAGAAAAATATATTTAAAACAATGTTCATATTTTTTACAATTTAATCCACTTACACATTTTATTTCTAAATAGCTTCTAGGTAGAAACTTAGGAGTTCAAGTTCGGTTTCTCTTACTATCTATAAAAGCCATGACGTTTAAGCTTAAAGTAAAGAGGAAAATAAATGCTTTCTAGGTTCACTTAAGCAACCTATGGCATAGGAATAACAGCGCTAAAAAACAAGTTGAAAACTTCGAAAACAAATAGACCTATGGAACTCTTTGGGTCAAAAATTTGTAAAAAGCAAAAAACCCCTACTTAAATGCATTATTTAAAAAAAACGGTATTGAGTAAAATAGCAAGTATGGAAAGTATCTTGCAAAGACTTCAGAAAAGCCATTCATAAGTGAGAAGTTGAGGCATTTCTAGTTTTACCAGGTGACTTGAGAAACTTGTCTCTTTTTTGTTGTTGTTGTTGTTATAAAGGAATAAAACTGTAAAATCCTTTTCTAGAGAGAGAAAAATTCAATACACCTAGAGGAAAGTTCCAGAGGCAGGAGAGATAAAAAGAAGAAAGATAAATTGTCACTTACCTTGACTCCTGTGTCCCTCTGCAGCTTTTTGTTCTGCAGAATATTGGAGCTGTCTCAGGTGCTGAAGTCCTATGAGGCCAAGGAAGGCTCCACCAGTTCTCTGCCCTTCGAACTGAACCAGAACTTGGTCCTAGCTAAGGGGTGGCTATTATTGCCAGCAGCTGCTTTTCACTCTACCCTGACCAGCATTTCAAAGCCCATCATTTTATAGGGCTTGTATTTAAGGCTGAGCAATCACAAAGCTCTCTGACTGACGTCAATGCAGTACTCCCTCAGGATGAATAGGGCTTCAACTTCTTATTTAATTGTCATTTGTCTAATTTATATAATTATATGGTGACTAACTTTGAGACATAAATTAAAGGAAATTTACTTTTCTTTAAACAAAAACAGGTACCAACTTTAATATGAAATGTTTTAATCCTTAATTAGCAGTAATGAAATAAGACAGTAATTAGTGTTATAGCCAAGGCCACTTGGGTTCTTTCAGAAAATAAGAATTTTATATACAGGAATAGATTGAGAAAGCAACAAACACTTACTTTCATGAGATTAAAAATGTAAAGTTATCTTTTATTTCAAAGCATTAACTCTCCTAAAGCCTTTTTAAGTTTTTATGCTATTCATGTAGATTTTGATTCATGTAATCTTTCTTGAAACGTATCCTAATTTTAAAAGCATCTAGAAGCAATTTTTCGTCTTTCTATTATTACATTTCCTATATGGTGAAACTAATCTCAGTATAAATGTTTCAAAAAGACTCAAAGCTAGTATAACATGTACATTCCTGTAAAAAGCAGTAATAGTATTGCTATAGAATATCATCATTTCCAATGCAGTGTCATACAGATAATCTCAAATGACTCAAAAACTAAATGATCAGACTGTCTGCCTCAGAGGATTCCATTTTTCTTCCTTTTTAAAAATGATATCTATCATTTTTAAGTCCTTATACTACGCAAAATTATGTTTTCTCCATTCCCAAACACACACACACACACACACACACACACACACACACACACACACACACACACACACACACTCCAGTTCTGGAACATTTCCAACTCAATCACTTGATGGGACCAGTTGGAAAGCATTTATAGAGCACTGTGCTCTGATAACTACTTAATTTCTATTTGTGGGTTTTTAACTAAAAGTAGCTTAGCATACATTCAAGCAGAGTTTAACCTAAAAATGCAGCCACATGAACAACGTTATGGATAACAATGTCAAATGCCAACTTTCTTTTTATTTTTCAAATTTTCAGGGTGTGCGTTCTTTTACATTTTGTTTGTAAGTTCCTCTAAAGAAAATGGCTCAAAATCCCCTTTCTTTCTTCTACTTTAAGATTTTAGTGTCCATTTGCTTCATTCAAAGTCAGACTGATTCAGTAAAAGAATATCCTGCTAGACTTAGTCATATTTTCTAATCCCGTTACAAGAAAAATTAAATGAATTAAATTTCAAAATATCTGGAAATTTGTTTCCCAGTTGACAGCTCTGACTTAAGCCAGGGTTCCTGTGGCTTAATTCCAGGAAATCTTTCTTTTTATCTGAATATTACAAATTAGCAGTTGAAATGGAATTTTTTTATCCTTAGCTCTTCATCACCCAATTCTCAGTAAAGCAATTTTACTTAAGAACAGCAACAGCAAAGGAAGTGGTTGAGAGTCAGAAAAACTGATGCTGAATGATAAGCAGAAAAAAACAAAAGAAACAAAGACATAAAAGTTGATTATTATTTGGTATAAGGAATGACTTAACACTGACAAAGAGTAACTATAGTAAATTTTTCCAAAGGTAAAGACAGTTTCTCTCATAATAATAACAAAACAAAAGAGTAAAGAAAAATAATTTACTTTTTTACCTCCGGATAAAAATAATTTACTTTTTTACCTCTGGATAAAAAGAAACTAAAGAATTGTGTTTTGTCCTATGAATTTTAACTAGAAAGCAAAACTAAATTTTAAAATGGAATCATGGCACCATCTGCAGGTTCAAAGTCTTAATTCACAGATTTTTTTTTTTTAAATGTGTTTCTTCTCTTTCTTTTCAAGGAAAAGAAGGCAATGCAGAGATCCTTTAACCAGATAAATTCGGGGGCTTTGAGAAAAATAAACATAAGAAAAACTGTGTAGTTGACTTTATCCTGAAAACTTTACTATTAAACTCAGTAAACACAAATGTGAATTTACTGCTTAATCTGCTTTTCCCCTTCGTTTGCATGTCTTTCACTAATTTTTCCACTTCTTGAGCAAAACTCGCTTTCTGTCTCAAGCCTTCTCAGTAAAGTGATGTTTATAAGAAGCACCATCATTTGTTCATGTAGTTAGAACAAATCTCCAAGATCTTTCTTGTACAGATAAGTAAACTAATGCCCAGAGAGTTTAAATAATACTTGCAAGTTCGCGCTGGTAGTTAAATACGAATATGGGATTGCAAGTTAGGTCTTCTGATCCTCGTTTAGCTTTCTTTCCATTAAGAGCTGGTGATTTTCTGTAACTGTTGGCATCACCATTGTTGATGCTAACAGGTCAGATAAGGAAAACGAAAGTGCATAAAAATATTGTCATCCCCCCTCTCCCTTTCTCAACTGGTATTCCAAATAAAAACATACTGAACATAGGGATATCAGATGGAAGGGATTTTCGAGCTCAGGAGAAGGGCAGAAATTCAGATGCACCCTTTTTTCCTCAGTGTAAAGAGCCATTGGAGGGTCTGTCTCATTTACAGATGAAATGCCACAGAGGTGCTCTCAGGTGTCTTGGTGATGGTGTTGTCTGTCTAGCTCACCCTAACTCTCATTCAACCTGAGACCTATCCACTCTCTGCCAGGGTCACTGAGGGGTTAGGTCCAGATCAGAGGTCTGCAGACTGCTGGCTTGGGACACACAAGGTTGGACTCTCTCGTTTTTATATCTCTCAGGCTACAAATGATGACTACATTTTTTAAAGACTGGAAAACATTTAAAGAAAAGGAACATTTTATGACATGTGAAAATGATACAAAAGCTAAATTTCAGTGTCCATAAATAAAGTTTGATTGAAACACGGAAATGCTTATCACACAGGTGTTGCTTATGGCTGCTTCTGTGCTACAGCAGCCAAGTTGAAGTTGCACAAGGACTATAGCCTACAAAGCCTGAAATGCGTACTGTTAGACCCCTTGCAGAAAAGCTGTGTCACATGTGGTCTAGAGCCTCCCATTTGGGAAGGTAATTAAGAAGTCATGTTTACCTTCATCTCCTTAAGTCCTATCGCTTTCAAAAAGATATATTAGGATACACACACGTTTGGATACATTTTTAACATAAATAATGTATAAAGAACAAAGTAAATGTATAGATTTGTAATATACCTAATATATGTTTGTATATTTGAATTTCCTGCCAGGATTCTTGAATTCTCACATCAGTGATTCGCTAAAAATAGTGTTACAACTAAGGTCAATTTTCCCTTTGAAGTCACCTACTACAATTCATTCCGTACTCTAAAAATATGTTAATGAATATTAAGTAGTTGGACACATAATGATTTAAATGATATAACAAAGAACAATCCCTCCCTTTGTTTTAGAACCCCACTGCCTATCCCACTTACCGATGATAAATTTTAATAAAAAATTGTTCCCTTGTTTCAGAATTTTCTTGTTTCAAACCAAATGCCTGTAGAAAGAATAATGAATTAAATGCTGTGAATCATTTATACCTTACCTGAGGGTTGTATTTATCAGATAATTTAATGAAAGTACATTTTGGAGGGAAGGCTATAGAAAAATTACAAGAGCATAAAATTCTGGGATGGAGGAGTTTAAAAATAATGTGTTGAAGATTTAAGAATAAATTTCATCTCCTTCACAAAATAATGTGTTAAAGATTTAAGAATAAATTTCGTCTCCATCAACTGTCACGCATGTACCCCTTCCCCCTCCCACACATACACATACCATACATATATTTCATGTAATCGGACTTTAATTGGATGATGCTCTCTGCTTAGGATCAGAATACATAATATCAACAAGGAGAGAGAGACATTACCAGTGAAGGGAAATGGAAAACAATGATGTCTAATTCCTAGTTTTTAACTCTAAGAAAGCTGAAGTCTAGATGTTAGAATGAAAGATCTGGCCAGAATGTCTACTGGGTCTCATGGCCACTGTACCACTGCATCCATCCTCACCAGAATAGGGAGGAGTCTCTGAAATGGGAAAGTGAAGTGCTTATTAGAGATGAGGAGACAACCCTCCGCCCCTGAGATGGTGGGAGTTTGTGGTAGGGTTGTAGGAATCATGACAGAGCCCTGCCCTTTAAGCTTGGGGACTAAACAGCAAAGGTTACCTTGGCATATTTCTCATCTGATTACCACAGCAAACCATGAAAAAACACTCTGCCATGGTACAGAAGGAAGCAGATAAACCTGTAGGACCAAATTGTTCCTCACATCCTGCTTGGTAAGACCCTAAACGCCTTTCAGGGGGTAAAGAGTGGAAAGAGTCTATTATCTTTAACCAAGGGCCGGGCCATATCGGGTACCATGGGTAATTGGCCATCTCAGTGGGAGACAGCACAGTCCAGAGCACCTCCCAAGGACCCAGAGGCAGCTGCCCCGATTCGTGCTGTGACAGAGGCTCTCAGAAACTTCCATGTTGCTCTGAGGGAAAAACAGGAACAGCAAATGCTGAAAGGACAGAATTTTAAATGTTAATATTCCTGTGTGTACCCAGAAAAGACGATGGTGACATTTTCTGTGCAGTAGAGGATTCAAATAGAACTTGAGTTAGAGAAAAGATTTTCAAGCTACATTTTTTTTCTTTTGTACATCACACTACGTGGCTTGTGAAAATTTGTTCTTGCT